ATCCCCAAGTCACTGCACCGGTTGCAGCACAGAACTCAGCCGATTTCCGTGAAACAAAGGGCATAGTTAAACTATATATGTTCCGGGAATCGGAAAGATATCTGGCAACACTTTGATAAGAAAAAGAAGTTTTTTCTCTTTATGGAGAGAGTAACTTAGACCCTGAGGATTCAGTGTGCTTCCTAAGAATATCAGAGTCACCTGAAACGGAGCCAAGATTTCTCCAAATTCCAGTGCAGTATATTAAACCACAAGACCATCCCTTCACCAACATGCTAAATAAATTGAGCATTTCAGCTGATATGATAAACCGCTAACATTTGCAAAGATATTATTGAAGTGACAAAGACAAATCAATTCAGATTCTAAAAGCAAGATTTTATATGAATTTCATAAAAATATATGTCAACATAGCTGATTTAATGCAAGCATCTTTAGAGGTTATAGAATTAGCCAGATTTTAAGGCTATTTGCAGCATGTTTTCAGTAGCAGTTCATATTTCATTTTCCGAGGTGCCATTTGATATTAAATGAATATTCATAAGTTATGGTCCCTTCTAAAACTAAAAAGAGGTTTTCTTGAGTCCTGTTCCTTTCCTCCTTAAAAGTTTAATTTAAAAAGGCTTGAGTCCTTTCAAGTACCTCCTATCAAATTCCTTCACTTGGACCAAGGTACCTCTTGGGTATTACTTTGACAGAATGAGGTTTGTTTAATGATCATAGCATTAAAACCTCATGCTCTGAAGACATGCATTAGCACACTGGGGAACATGGCGTAAAAACAAGAGGTGAAGCAGGGTTTCTTTCCTTCCTTCCTTTCAACAAATCACACATCAATAAGCAGTTACTTAGACATCTTCTTTATTACTTTGTCAATGGACTATTTTCCCCAAAATGGTTATTCCTTAGCCATTCTGTGCCCAGTCTTGCTCCTGTTAATGCTGAGACATTGCAAAAATCTTAATTTGTTTCAATGGTACAGGATAAGACTGTCAAAGAACAACTCATCTCTCAAGAACTCCCTAGTCATTTAAAAGTATTGCTGCCTGGCAAATTCAAAGCCACAAATTCACACTGAAAGCAAGGCCCATTTCTAAGGTTTGCCACCTGGATTATACTGGTATAAAATGAGTGCAAAAAGCTGGCCGGTCAGAACAACTTTTTATGTCCCCTCACACTGGTGTAAATGCCAACACCAGTTGTAGAGCCTCCAGTGACATGGCCCTACCATTACATTGCTTTCCTGGTTGTACAGGCCACTGTCGTCTTTGTTCTCCCCTTTTCATTGTCTTATTTTTCCTACCATTGCTAATTCCTATCAGGTGCCCTTAGATCTCGCTCAGTATTAGTCCTTCAGATTCTTTTGGTTCTGGCTCTGGGTCCAACACCATGAAAATGACCACTGACCTGTTGCTGAATAAGTCAACTGAACCAAATGCTCCACTCCCTGAACTCAAGGATATTGCGTATAAAAAAAAAAGTCTCCCAATTTCTTATTAGACCTTTCCAAATTTAATTCTCCCTAACTGGCTGCAAAATGCATTTCACTGGTTCTGAGGTACTCAGTAAGTACTCAGCGAAATACAGGACCACAGAAGAATTCAGGTTGGAAGGGACCCCAGCAGATTTCTAGCCCAACCTCCTGCTCAAAGCAGCATCAGCTATGAGATCAGGTCAGGTTTCTCAAGGTTTTATCTAGCTGGGGCTTGAAACCTTCCCAGGACAGAGACTGCACAACCTCTGTGAGCAACCTGTTCCAATGCCCAACTGTCCTCATGGGGAAAAAGTTTCTCCTTATGTTCAGCCTCAGCCTCTTGTTTCAGCTCAAGTCTGGTGTCTCTCATACATCACTGTGAAGAGTCTGGTTCCATCTTTTTGATAACATCCTTCTGCACACTGGGGGCTGCTGCTAGTCCCCCCATCCCACCCTGGCAAGCTGCCTCTTCCCCAGGCTGAACAAGCCCAGCTCCCTCAATCCCCTGCTCACAGGGCAACTGCTCCAGCCCGGAGCATCCTGGTGGCCCTCACCTGAACCTGCACTGGAGTGCAGGTTCCAGCACTGGAGATCCAAGAACTGGAGTCTAAAAAGTGCAGAGTAAAGGGGAATAATGACTATCCTTGATCAGCTCACAATGTTCCTGTTAATACTGCCCCGATTCTGTTAGCATTCTTTGCTGCCAAGGCACAACACTGGTTCATTTCATCTTCCTGACTATCAGGACCGCAGGTACTTTTCACCAAAGCCGCTCCCCAGCCAGGGAGCCCCAGGCTGAATGGGGTGCAAGGGGCTCGGCCTTCCCAGCTGCAGAACTCTGCATTCGTCGTTTGTCCTTGTTGGATTTCATAAGGTTCCAGCTGATACATTCCTCCAGCTTATGTCTGGTCCCTACAAATGGCAGCCCTACTCTTGAGTCTCTTGACTGTTACCACCAGTTTGGTGTCATCTGCAAATCTGATGAGAGTACACTCTGTCCCACGGCATCCTCAACATCACTGTTAACGTGAAGATCTTTTTTCTTACTAGGTAAACCACCAGATCAAGCATTTTTTTCTTATACATCTGCAGCTACTCTTTGTCAGGAGTAGTAAAAAGGTATAAAATCTCCACAAAGGAAGGGACATTTTGGGTTGTGTTTTTGCCCCCAACTCAATAAACTGTAATCAGCAGCTAACAGTCTCAAGTAAAATGCCACACTTTTCAACACCTATGGTTAACAACTGCTAGATATGTTTGACCAAGACTATTTTCCTGGCTCACAACCATGCCTTAGATTTTATCTTCAAATAAAGTTTAAATACCCTTTTCATGTCACTTTCTTCAAGTTCTTTTCCATCATATTTTTCCATATCAAAGCAGCCTGTAAAGTCACTTTAATTCCTGAGAAATTTTCAACAATCACATCACTTTTCCATAGCCATATCTGGAAACAGTTACACTACCTTGGCTTAATCTTCACATTAGTTTCCATGCTCCTTTCATGCTCTACTTTTTTTGAGCCACAAATCCACTGTTCTGTCCCCTTATTAGATTTCAAATAATCGGAGTCACGGGGACCAACAGCACTGGAAATATCCTCCTGAGTTATTGATTTCACTCATAATATTATCACAATATACTTTTATAAAGTCCGTACAAACATTGATCGTGTTTCTTCTTTTCTTTGGTAGTTACTGAATTGAAGTTATTTTCTTTCCTGCAGACTTACTTTCTAACACTCGTACTAATATTTTCCTTATACCTCTTTTCTGTAAAGTAAGAAAAATTGATCTTGATTCTTCTTTTCATAGAGGTCTATAAAGTTTGAAGTTTTGCACATCTGCAATGAAACGACAAAGTTTCCATCTATGTTTATGTTGAAATGAAAACAACTTTTTCTTCTTTTCAACTTCATCTCACAGTGCCTTAATTCTAAAAAGAGATAATATGATAGTAAAACAGTACTAGAAGAAATTATAAAATAGCTTCAGTTTTTTCTGGTAGCGCTCTGGATGCAGTCAGCTCTGTACACATGGGTGGAGACACAGACTACATTCCTATGGACTGCATTCAACAGATGATGACTTAGAGGAAATGAGCACAATGGTTATGTACTAACACTCCACACTTACCAAACCAATACAAACCACCTCTCACATGCAAGTGTGTATGCGTATTCATGACTACACAGTAAACAAATACTGGTAGTTTAGTCTGCCATGTTTGCAGTCATTCATATAGTATCATGAATCGATGGAAAATTTGAAACACCACAAGTATACATATACAAACAGACGATGATTGAACCATGCATTAGTTAACAATACATCATTGTTAAGACTGAGATTTGTATGTGAAACTCAAATCTCTGCTTGATATGAAATGGCTGCATGCCAATTCCCAGTTTTGTATACCACCACTTCAGAGAACAAAATAGTGTTCCACATTAAACTTTTTACAGATTAATTACTGACTGGGATATGAGTAAAAGTGCTATTTAACTCTCAAGTTACATCTGTATTTATATTAATCCAGTTACTCTGCTAAACTAATGTCAGTTTAAAGTGGTCAGCTAAAATACCACTACAGCAAACTGAGTAGGAGTTAACAAGTCAAGCAGATCAACAAAATCAATATCAACTTCTAAAGTAAATAGGAAAATAAAATACAATGATGCTTTTCAATATATTCTTCTAAGACAAGACACCAAGTGTTGAAGGTTTGGATGTCCTGCGGGTATTTGGGGGACAAACCATGACAGAACAAACAAATAATTTTCAGACTAGACAAGGAAAGTATGAGCAAGTGGGAAGCCCCTATCGAATAAAGGAAAGACTGCAAGAAAGAACGATTGTTTGTATACAAGCTACGCTTGGGACGGAAATCAGTTTCATTGGCTGGAAATAATAGGTTAGATTGATGCTAGGAAAATACCAACTTTAGGACCAGAAAATACTGGAATAGAGAGATGTAAAAATCTTCTCAATTGCACATTTTCCAGAACAAAGTTAGACAAACATCTGTCAGAAATGAACTTGCTCTATTGATCCTGCTACAGCCCTAGGGAGGGGCTCCGTCAGGCTTGCTTCCCATCCAACATGTTAAGGATTCTAAGTTTAATTTAAAACAAAAAAAAAGGGCAAAAAAGAACATGAACTCAAGGTAGAAACACCTCAATGACAAAAACATTTACATTTTTCCTCATAGGTCATTCCTTAATGTTTGGGGTTTTTATAAATTTATTTGGCACGAACAGGGTGTGGCGCTTACGCACATACAGACTGACTTCTTTCCTCATTATATTAACATTGAATAATCTGACATTTATCTTTTAGAGAGATGGGGAAATCACTTACCACATCCTATGAAAGCTGCTGTATTCCCCCTGCTCTAAACCTTCCAACTCCCTAGTCATACAATCAACAAAAAGCCCTCAGTGCACAGTCACAATCTATTAACAACAAAGTAAAACAATTTGCCACATTTTAAGTAAGTAAAATATTTCTAATAGTGCATACTTTACCAGTTATGTCATGCTGTTTGAATGACTCACTGTAGATTTGATACTGATTAGGACAATGTTTCTTCAGCCATTTGCAGACATCCTGCTGGGTCCATAACGCCACAGGCTTGGTCAGCTTCACAGTCCCGGACTAGAAATAGAGAAAGAAGAACAGCAATAATGTTTAGTCCGCATACAAGTTTCAGAAATATTAATCTGTGACATCCATATATGATATTAAAATAATAAATGCAAGAAAGGACCTGCTCTGACTGGCAGATATCCAGTAATCACCAGCACGGTACACAAGACCCAGCTATTCAAATACATCATGCAGGAATCACACACAGTGAAAGGTTCTTTAACATTATTTTGCATTGCATACGTGTTCCTTGCATCACAGAAACATACTGCACCATGTCTTACTTGAATAACAGTTTAAAGAGTGACCGACTCTGCACCCAAAGGGCAACAGTTGCAGCCTCTGAAGCCTTCAAATTCACAAGAGGGATGTATGTTTGTGTCCCAGTTTGGATATGACCATGGAAGACCAGGAGTATCCTCAGCCAGGCACGGAACTTATTCTGGCTACTACCATAAAAGACAACAAAAAATGTTTCTACAAATACATTAGCAACAAAAGAAGGGCTAAGGAGAATCTCCATCCTTTATTGGATATGGGGGGGAAACACAGTGACAAAGGACAAGGAAAAGGCTGAGGTACTTAATGTCTTCTTTGCCTCAGTCTTTAATAGTCAGACCAGTTGTCCTCGGGGTACCCAGCCCCCTGTGCTGGAAAACAGGGACGGGGAGCAGAATGAAGCCCCCATAATCCAAGGGGAAATGGTCAGCGACCTGCTACGCCACTTAGACACACACAAGTCTATGGGGCCAGAAGATCCGCTCAAGGGTACTGAGGGAGCTGGCGGAGGTGCTCACCAAGCCACTTTCCATCATCCATCAACAGTCCTGGCTATCCGGGGAGGTCCCAGTGGACTGGAGGTTAGCAAATGTGACGCCCATCTACAAGAAGGGCTGGAAGGAGGATCCGGGGAACTACAGGCCTGTCAGCCTGACCTCCATGCTGGGGAAGGTTATGGAGCAGATCATCCTGAGTGCCATCACACAGCACGTACAGAACAACCAGGGCATCAGGCCCAGCCTGCATGGGTTTATGAAAGGCCAGTCCTGCTTGACTAACCTGATCTCCTTCTGTGACAAGGTGACCCGCTTACTGCATGAGGGGAAGGCTGTGGATGTTGTCTACCTGGACTTTAGTAAAGCCTTTGACACTGTTTCTCACAGCATTCTCCTGGAGAAACTGGCTGCTCATGGCTTGGACGGGCATACACTTCACTGGGGAAAAAACTGGCTGGATGGCTGAGACCAAAGAGTTGTGGTGAATGGAGCTAAATACAGTTGGCGGCTGGTCACAAGTGGTGTTCCCCAGGGCTCAGTACTGGGGACAGTTCTGTTTAATAGCTTTATCAACAATCTGGACAAAGGGATCAAGTGCACCCTCAGTAAGTTTGCAGACAACACCACGTTGGGCAGGAGTGTCGATCTGCTGGAGGGTAGGAAGGCCCTGCAGAGAGACCTGGACAGGCTGGATCATTGGGCCAGGTGTGCCCAGGTGGCCAAGAAGGCCAACAGCATCCTGGCTTGTATCAGAAATAGCGTGGCCAGCAGGACTAGGGAAGTAAGTCCCCATCCCTGGAGGTATTTAAAAGACGTGTAGACATGGCGCGCAGGGACATGGTTTAGAGGTGGACTTGATGATCTGAAAGGTCTTTTCCAACCTAAATGATTCTATGATTCTATGTTCCTCAACTACAGTTAGATAAGATCTTGCAACAAAGCCCTTTAGTGCAAACAAGCTTAAAGACTGGTTCTGCCTGGGAAAAGGAGACTACACACCCCTGGAGGTAGAGCTGGTGATAGTGGATCATACTGAGCATTTCAGCTGACATCATTTCTAGTTTGAGTGATGTTTACAAGCACTTTTAGTATTTCTGCTTCCTTTTTACCTTTAACCCTTCTACAATCACCATTATGTGAAGTATGACTTCTGCTTAAAACAGTCACTTCCTTATAAATAAATAACCACTGTGCAATACTTTCCTGAAAATTCATTGTTATAATAGATTATCTGAACAAATTGATGAACAGTTTATACAAAAAGCACTCATAAATTAAGTCAATTGCATTATCATATGTATAAAGTCACATTTCATTTAATCAAACAATTCACATTTGCATATATGATGTTTTCAACCATATAAAAATGCTGAGTTCTAGACGACCTGAACTGCAGGGATTTAAAGCTTCTTGTCAAAGTAGGCAAAACAACAACAGAAAAAAAGAAAATCTATTCAAAGTGATTTCATCTTTTTTTTTTTTTTTTTGCAACACAGTCTGCCCAGGAGACTAAGAAAATCTTAAATAGATGGGTGGTTATTACCAACAATAAACGTTTAACATTGCACATCGCTGATGTAAGTGGGTGTGAACACCAAGGTATCCATTTACTTCATGATTTTGTCAAAGAACTGAGCCTACGGAATAAAATCAAAGTATCTTTGTTCCCATGCTGTCCATGCAGAACACCTGTCCTCTAGCTCCTTGGTGGTGTAGAAGGTTCAAGAGAAGTTTTTCTGCACAAATTTGAGGTGAAGGGGAATGTCATCTCAACCATTCTTCTCCATTAAGACTCATGGCGGATTTCCCTCTATATTGCCAGCCAGGGTTTATCCCAGCATTTACGCAGATGTACTTTGTCAAACAGACCTTTTCAGAGTTGCTTTGAAATTTTTCATTACTAGAAGCCCAAAGGACCATGGCAGTTTTAAGCTAGTGCTTTGCATGTCCTGTTAAGTCCATAAAGTACATCATGCAAAGACATTAAGTTAGAGCCAGGGAATATGGCAGAGCTAAAATTCCAGTGGGCAAACACGTCTTTGAATTTCTCATGTCCAGTTTTCCCTATCTCTTTTTCATTGCCTGGGTAGAAGTTAAATAAACAGCAAGAAAATTATAGTTGACTATATAATACAATGCACATCCCTTAGCTCAGCCTTTTGTGTTTTGAACAAAAATACACTCATGAGAAACATGAATCCTGTTTCGAACACACAAACAGGCACCATCCACATTTAGAGGTATCACAACAATGCACAAAACCACCCCAAATAATTTATTCTCATCTTTTGCTGCCACCCACCAATGTGCAGCAGGCAGAAGCCTGACTGACAGACTTGGCATCCACAAAAAAAGAAACTTCCAGAGGTGTTGATGGCGCACGATAAGCAGGACAGCACTTGCTCTACCACTGTCTTTTCTGAGAAGCTCATCAGTCTTCTGCACATACAGGTTTCTACCTGCTCTGGACACTCCACAGGTCTGGAGAAGGGGCAACCTCTGTAGGAAGAGCAAGTGCCCAGTAACTGTTCTCGTGCAACTAAGAAAACCAAAGGCTCCTCTTTGAACTTCTCTAGCCTACGCGGTACTGTTATTTGAGTCAAAGAAGAAACTGCATTTCAATGAAGAGCCCAGCATTATGGTATCAGTTAGCTGATTTTTGTTGCATGCATATATATAAACGCGTGTCCTTCACAAATACATCAAAGAAAAAAAACAAGTAAAAATAGCCAGATAACACAAGCAGCCTCTGATTCCATAGAAATCTCCAAACAACAGGGTCAAGACTTCAATGTGTATCTTTATCGGAGCTACGGCTTAAATTTAAAGATATTTCTTGAGCATTGGAATTTTTGAAGACTAGAGGAAAGTCTGTGAACCCTTGAAAAATAAATTGTTAATGCCTTTTCTTGTACATCATAAAAATACATAAAATTACAAATATTTGTATACAAATATATATAGCTAGCTATAGATTTACAAGCTATTTATTCTTACCTGAAAGTACACAAGTAGTGCCAATGTTTGTTTTAACTAAGAGGTTGCTCTTTTCAGTTCAGCAACTATTCTCCTCTTAAAAGGTTTAAGCACCATCATGTTAAATATCTGAAGAACAAGTTTATCAGCAATTACAGTACAAATTTAACATTTTCCTCGGTGCTTGCAGAACTCAAAGATGGTTTTAAATTTAGCTATTAAGCCATACAATATACAGACCACTGCACAACAAACATACATGCTGATTTTTTACTGTCCAGCGTTCAGAATTATGATTGAAACGTTTGACTTAAACTTACAACTGCAGTCCAAAGAGGACATTTTTACACTGACACCATCAAGCATTGCGTTTAATTTTCTAATTTATAAGGACTTGATGAGTTAGAGGAATACAGGGTTTTTAAAGCAACGGTTATAAAAAGTATATTGTTGTTGCTTTCGTTTTTGGAACATCATACCCAAAATATTTTCCAACCAGATGCTCTAAATGAAAGGCTATTTAAAAATGTGCTTCCCTCGCACAAAATTCATTTGTTAGTTTCTTCCCTGCTCTAAATCTATATCTTTTACTAAAAAAATTGCCAGTAAACCAAGGAAAATTACCCTTACCATAAACATCCCTAACAAATGAGCCCCCTGCAACTAACTATAGGTAAACTATCTAGACGGGTACAAAACATATTATGTTTTACTTTATTTCTGTTCATTAGCTCAGTCAAACAATAGGTCATACTGATTAAACTAAAGTAATATACATTAAAAAAAAGAAAATTGTTGGTCTGGCCTTCCCTTACATTTTCCTGACACAAACTCATCCTAAGATCACCCTTTGCTGGCAACACTTTAATAGTTTTAATCCTGCCAAACTCTATGGCAACTCATGTGCCAGATATAGATCTAATGAGAATAAAAGTCTTCAGTATTCTGCTCTTTTCTTGTATACTTGAAGGAAAACCTGTTTCTTCAGGATTTTATGTCAAACTCTTTCTTCTAAATTGCCTAACCCCCATTTTTGCTATGTGTAACTCAAACTATAAAAAAATTACTCCCAAGAAGAAAAAAAAATTAGCATATTTAATATGTGACACAATTTCATGCTCTCTTTGTTCCATGGAGCAGAGAAGGCAGTGCTTAAAATCATCAACTCAAGAATAAATAAATAAACGAATCAAACTTACAGCCTGCACACTACTACAGAGTGTATTTCAGTATTCAGAATAGCACCAGCAACCAAGC